GTATCAGAAATATACAGAAAAACATTGGGCGCTCTATAGTTCGAACCTTCGAAGGTCTATAGTTCGAAGGCGCGGTAGGTGTAGAGCTAATATCGCTTGCGTATTGAAATATTGACATATGCTACATCGTAACGCCCAAAGGAAAGTTGGTGTTAAAACAATCAGTAGTGCTACACGAATCGTATCAAATACATTGATAGCAGGCGCAAACGTTATAATGGCTAAACATCCTCCGCCGGTCACATGCAATTTGTTATACCGACCACATAACGTTATCTCAGAAAATTTTAGGCCTGAAAATACATATCTGTACTCTCGTTTTAATAAGCAAATAGGTTTTTTTTTAATAGGAAAATAGCCTAAACTTTGTATTAAGTTTCGTAGCTCCAACTGCGGTACACGAATATGAGCAAACCCAATAGTTTTAGAAGAGAATCTATCTCACAGTGCTCAATAAGCCACACGACTAGCACAGTCATATTTTTTTACTCCGCCCATCGCCGTAAATGAGATTAATGGCTGAGGTGATAGTGAGCGAGGAAAGCCTGACGACACATAGTTTTGCCTGTATGACTTAGTGAACAATGACCTCGGTGATTAGGATTATTCCCTTTCTCAATTAGACCACCTAGGTTAACAAAATGTCCAGGCTAATGTATAGATGCATGGGTAAGAAGGACATCTACCGACCGAATTTCAAATTGCCAGTGCTTCGAATAATCCTTTTTCCTGAAAAATGTAAATCCGAGCGGTCCAGTTGCAGTCCAGCGGACGTATGCATGAGAATAAGCGCGGGGACGGAGATATGCCTTGGGAATAGACGTGTTGAAAGAAATCTAACAAGATATTCTAGTATTATATAGATGTCTAGGATGTGCAGTTATTTTCACAACTGCGGCCCTCGAGAGCCCCGATACAAAGTTTGCGCAAATGCTCGTTTTACGTTCTAAACGATCTTGTTTCCTGCGTGTGATTGTTTACACCCCACAATGTTGAGTACGATCTTCGTAATCGTGGCTAGTTAGAACATGGTGTACGCATCTCGACATAGGTCACGAAGAGATATCGAATTATGTGGCGGTACAAAATTATTTTCGGAAATATACTATCGATATAGATACGCATAACAGCTCAAACGCTTGTTGGATTGAAAAAAATCATTGTGAGAGGCAGCAGAACTTTACCAATGCATGATCTATTATGAAGGACAGCGGAATCCTGCTTGTGAAGTATATTATCACCAAGAAGTTGGTTTGTTTGATAGTCTTTCGCACGCTGCTTCAAGCGTGATAGAGCTTTTACTCGGACAGACGCCCTCGAAATTTTACGAAATACGAATATATTATTACTACTGCTACGTAATTAATAATTAGAGTACGAAGATCTTACGTTACATTCTATTCGTTGTGGCCGGTTGCACTATATTCATTGCTAGGACGATTTTGCATTTTCACACAATTAAAGTAAGTTCCGTCTAACGATAATTTCCACTTGCCTATTGCTAGCTCGCTTCGTATTGGTTTTGCTATTTACAAAATTGCAAATACGAGGTATAGACATGTGCCTAAAACGTTTCTATTGCTTTTACCGTTAAGCCTACAATTGTACAATAAAACCGTTACTTGACTGAGCTGGACAATGGTAACTCTCAAGGCAATGTTTTTTGTCAACAACTGCTGATGGCAACAGCTGTCGGTGCTATTCGCTTTTACGGCACTCCCCAGCCTTTACCCCAATACATGCAGGAAGATCTGCAATAGAACTGTCGATTTCCTCACTAACAGAACCAAGGGTTTCCGATGCAACTGGCAAAAAATCGGATCGAGTCTTTCAAGCACTGTATGCACGTTATTTCTCTAGATCCGCGTCTTCTGCCGTCTAACTTAATGTGATTGCATTATGCGGCGAGTACGAGTTGTTCACGATGTTGTAGTATTCGAGCCGAGGGCTTCCCACGAGACCATAGTGGTAGGTGTGCTTAGGCTATCGGACCCTTTATCATCCGCAAACTCAACTGGTGGAAGGTTCATGACAGCAGGCATTTGCTCTCCAAGGTACTCTTTTGATCCTTGCCTTAAGCTTCGCATGTCCCAATTGCTTTTCTGCGACTCAAAAGGTGCAATCCATCTGCGTCGAGGGTTCCTTCTCAATCTAGACATGCAAAGGGCGCACATATCGGCGCACCGGTTCTCAATACGGGGACTATGAAATATTCAACCATATTTTCCAAAAAAAAATATTCCCTAGGTAGGAAAATAGCTTTTTTACTTGAAGATTTTTTCTTCGTTACTTAATGCTGTAAATGCTCCAATATCTATTTAGCATTTTCTATACCATTTGGTCCAATCGAAATGCGCTGGACACAATATAGCTGAGAACATTATATATA